CTGCCTGGTATTTCAGCCATGAAACCGCGATACTACTGGAAGAGGCTTGACTATATAACTACTGCAAGGGAAGTATTGTTAGTTTTGCCAGGAGCACAGATGGGCTGTTGGTACACTCACAAAGTGAGTCAAGAAGCAATGTATATGGACAACGATTCAACCACACTCGTCACCCTCCAACAACTTCCGTGAACAAAATTTTTTTCAATGACAAAAAGGTTGGATTGTTAGATAAAAATTTTAGAGGAAAAATGAAAAAGACTTGGGATACATATGACGTTTTAAAAGTGCCTGAGTGCACGAGTTTGCGTGGCTTCCAATTCTCGAAGTGCACAAAATGGGAAATCGCAAACAGTGATGAGTTTGGAAGAAATCCGGACGAAAAAAGTCTAAATAATGCCATCGACTTCTTTTTTTCGTATTCGACTCTCTGATGATCCTTCCTCCATGGTCTCCAACTTGTCTCGAGTCCAGAGCGTAATGATGAGTTTTCCATGTGCTGCATTCTGTCCCTACGCAAGGCTCCCGAGCTAGCGCTTCATGACTTGCGATCCTTCAAGCCTGATCCCGCTGTGACACACTACACGAATATTGCACGCTAATGTTTTGTAGTAACTCTGCGGCTAAGAAAGCTCTCCAGGCTTAGCAGCTCTTTAAGTGCAATTTGATGTTCCATCTGTATACAATCTTAATTGAATCAATCGTCTACTGCCATCCCTGCGCTTTGAATGGAAGTCGCTCTTATTTCAGTAAGTGTCGTGGCGTAACTCGTCTTGGTTTTGGAGAGCGGTAAAGCCAGTCAAGGGAGTAAGGTTTCATTTCTTGACTGAATGCGTTGTTCCATTTGCTTGCTATCAACAGATGGCTGGTTTTTGACAATCGAAAATGGTTTGGTAGTAACAGAAATCATGAGCACGTATTTTCTTTCAGAATTTCTTTCTGGTCAGTAGGTGACAGAGGTGCACTCAGAGGATTTGTGGGGGGGAGGGGCGGCTTAGACCGGAATGTACCCCTCCCCCAATTGGCTCAGGTTGCTGAAGCCTCCACCCCTTTCCCTCCACAGGGAACTGGGATTTTCGGCTGTATCAGAGCTAGTAATAGTTTAAGATGTATTGTATCAAAAGAACTGAAACCTCTGGGGAGGGTTTATTCAAGTCTAATTCAACTATTAAGCCTCTTATCAATGCAATTATCAAATCGACACACTATATGAAGTATGTGAAGGTTTACTGTGACACCCAACAAATACTCTGTAAGTTATCAAAAATAACTGAATAATACGAATTTAACTCGCATGGAATATTTTTTTTATAAATTAACATTTCACCATGTACTGATTTGAATAGGTGTAGCTAAGTTTTTAATCATGGAGACGTACAAACCATTAACGTATATAAGTTTAATCTGATGGATGGATAATATGTTTATCACTCGGGCTTCCAGATTTCACTCGTCTAATCTTCCTACGTATTTTGTCCCTCAAATTACCCAGCTTGTGTGGCCTTGAAGGCTGATCAACAAGGGTGGCTATTCATGTATATGGAAAACACTTAAATCCCTCTTCATCTCCTGTCTAACTTGTCAGATCGTTAACAGTATTTACCCAAGCTAGAATCACTCCCTTTGTCGGTAGAATGGGAAGTTTCCCCTGCCTTGGTTACATACCTCGCCACAAAGATGTTTCCCTTGCCGAACAAAGTGATGACACCCGCTGTTGGTCTCTGTGTGATGGTCTTTTCACAGCGTGGCTGGGGTTGCTGTGACCCTGATTATACCGTGGGATGAGTTTTCCTTCCTCCATGATTATACGTACTTTTGCCTGGAAACCAAATGGGGGGGGGGCTAAAGTACCCCAAACTTTTTTTGTTTGTTTGCGTTTGCTTCTTGCTTATAGGGTGGAAAGACATGCGTGTCAAGAGTAATATAATTGTAATGGCCTTTATAACTTTCTTTTCAGCACGTTGGTAGTGTAAGCACTGGCACTGTCCTCTGCTATGTATTTAATTCACCAGTTGAATTGCGCTTTCATGTGTACTGTGCAGTTTTCAGAAGTTTCTGCAAAGTGGGGGAGGGATGTTGTTGGGCGGAGCCTCCGTGGGTCAAACGTCGTGGGTGTTCGGGAGGCATTATGGGAGAAACTCTTTCCAGCAGTTTAAGTTAATCCCTGCTATCCAGGTTGATCACAGAGAGTAACTGCATGGGGTGAGTACCGGATCATCAGTGGTCTTACCCCTACAAGTCAAAGGGTAACATAGTGAGCAGGGCATCTTTACACCTCTGGCTAATCTCCATGGAGCTGTTTTCTTTATTAGGAACATTCTTCAACTTGAATATGAATTATTACTACTCTGCCGGTAACATTAATATAGCTGAACCTTTCCGAGTTTTTTTCTTCCCCCTTGTGGAGTTTTCGTAAACTTTCCATCGTCCCTCCGGGGATATGTGGTAGCCGGAGCTGCGGTGCACTGAAGTGGTGCGAGGGAGGTCGAGGGACTCCCGTGGGTACACTAGACATCGTCGTAAACCGGTAAACACTTGGATGATTTACGCGTCCCCTGCAGAACGGGCAATTTCTCATGCTGCTCGGTCTCTCTGTTTACGAGCCCATCGAATATTCCGTAAAATGATACCGCAAACCTGGGGTCTTTACCCCCCAATCCGGATTGAAAGCAAGAATCCTTTTGATGTGAATGTCAGGGTCTCCGATGACCGATTCAAGAATTATTGAGTGTATTTGGCGCAATGTTTGCGCGCCATAATTGCCGGTTGTTATACCCTTATTATACCCATGAATTACAGTACTTGCTGACGTCTCAGCGCTAATGTTTGCACCAAAGGTTACGCCAGAAAAAGACTTGAACTTGACCTTTGACCCTGGCTGTTGCATTTCGAGTGCCGTTCTTCACGTCGCCGCGTGAATAGAACGGTAGTTTCGAGGAATGCCGGCACTACTTGTTATAATGGATGTAGCCAGTCTGTACCACAGAAATCAGCCTGCCACGCGGCATCCTGTATTGATAAAGATATACAGCTTTGTTCATTTTAATCGGACTTTTTCCCCGTGTTCCGATTGCGCTTAGTTGTGGCATATCTGCATAAAACCTGCGAAGTTGCCAAGTGATTTCGAAAGTCTGACCGCCTTTAATTGTCATTCCAATTAGCGAAACTTTCATATAAAGACTGTTTCTGTCTCATTAGATCCCTTGGTACATGTACGAAAATCGGTCGAAAGAATAGAAGTGGCAAGCATTCTGGTTGTTTCATTGTGTATGGTCAAAGTAGTAAACAACCTACATCTGGAAAAAGAACACCAGTGACCTCGCCCTTTAAGTTGGTGCAGTTTCGCGTTTCATCGCAACGCATGCTCTTTTCTCTCGGCTGTTTTGTCACCATCTACATATTATGTACCTAGAGAATGACGCACTCTCCGGACGAATCGCAGGTCCTCGCTTAGGTACCTCTGTCACTCTCACACTTCAACTGATATCTTAACTACCTGCAGATACACAATCGTAAAATATCAACTTTAGAAACGGTAAACATCTTGCACATCCTTCTGATCAGGCATCAATCACTTCAACCCGTTGGTAATATCATTTCCTTAGTTGTCTGCTGCGGCCCTATTGAGCTCGCACCACTCATTAACGGTCTGCCGAGTGACTGACCGCTGCCACACCGATCCGTCAACCAGCCACCACATAAATTACATCAATTTTCACTTGTCCGGCGAGATAAAGAAAATTCAGCCAAATTGAAAATTCCGCAATAAAATTGAACGCCTCCTCACAAGGTTGTGAGATTACTCGCGGAGCGAAAGCGGCAAGACGTGTGTTTGTGGAGAGGAGGATATTGAGTGATGCACATGTTGAGAGGTAACACCAATCGGACGGTGGGTTAGCAAAAGGGCGTGGAAAACAGGTTTTCACATGATTAGCTTTTAGAACTAAAGGTCAGAGGCTTAATTTTCTCAAGTGTGCATCTCTGCAATTTAATGATTTTCAGAGCAACGGGCGAATTGCCACGGTGCGAAAACTTCATCAAACGTGAAAAAATCTTTTTCGTAAACACTGTGAATAAATGACCATTTCGACGTTGTTTTTTTTTTTAGTTTTGCAGAGCTCTTAAAATGTAAAACGTATGTGAAAATGTTACAAAGAGTGTCCAGATGTAGGAATTGAGCCTACCAATGGGCCTGTATCTTTTGAGAGTGTGAAGATACCTTGAAGATTTCATATTGAAAGCACGAACACTCTCATTAGACACGAAAGTGGGATTACTTCCTGCGTGCTTATTGCATTATTTGAACTTTTAAGACCAGGCCCGAGGGATCAGAAGCTCCGATAAGAGGAAAAATGCATCTAAAAATCCGGACGTACAGTAAATGCAGCTGTGGAAGGTTTACTTTTTATTAGGAACTTAAAATCCTTATATTGAGACCTCTCCGCTGAAGCAAATAAACATCAGGTCTCGGTGGCACAAGTCCGGTCTCTTGGAATGTCTGCATTAAAACCCGAAAAATAATGACTGATGCATCGACGCTAAGGCGTCCATGCAGAACTCCCCTAATAGAACCAGTAGAATATTTACCTGGACAGAGGGATCTGCCCGTCCTTCATGAACAAAATCCCCGCAGGTTATAGCAACTTCATCAACGAATGAACAATTTATCGACACTCTTTGCTGAAAATCCGTTTTTTTTTCTCCACCTAAACACAGACAAGCCACAAAAACCACTAAATTGAACCCTCCCTTAAATACACTTTGAATGTAAGGAAAAGGTAATGCATTCTAATATTGGGGTCAATGTTTTAGTCTAAAATAATGTCCACCCATAACATGAACCAATCAGCAGCCATATTTCACCATTCGATTGACTCCCTCTTTTCTCCTCGTCAACGCCCTTCATTTTGTCTGATGTTCGAATCGCACATTTTATTCAACTTCCTGCTTTAACTGCACGTTTATTGCAACTTTAATAAATTACGACGGGACAAACGGCGTGTTTCACTTGCACTTTATTTTCAAGCCGTCTCTTTAGTTTCAGCTGATGTCGTTGTACAGCTTTTTGGAGGAATGGCATTGTACTGTGATGCATAATACGGTGCTAATGCGTTTTTTAACCATACTTATTAATATATACAATATTTACAGCCAAGCCTTTAGTAAACACGGATTATGAAAATCTGTGCAGTCAGTGTGAACTAAGCAAAACTATTTCTAAATAATTTGAAACGAGAACTTCCGAAATTGTGGTATGTTGCAGTTTAAACATAAACATTTTGTTTGTTTTTCAGCTCGCCAGTTGTTAAAGTAAAAGTGACATTTTCGTTGAGGGGTATGCTTGTAAATTTTCCCTTTTCATGTGCAAAAATCAGTCATAAGCAGTCAAATGTTTAACGTTTTCAAAATAATTAAAAGGAAAACGCTCGATTTGAAGTATCTTGTTGAACCTTCGAAGACAGGTTCACCATGGCATGTGACCTACGATATTACGAGTTAAATCTAGTACGAGAGTCTCACTTGATTCACCCATAGTATCGTTTTATTACAATGTCATTGGGACGTATTTGCTATTATATCTCCACAAAAACTACATTCTGTGTTCTTAATTCAACCGCTGATATTATTCAAATTAAAGGTCAGTTCGAACCGCATCGAAACAGTTTTTCAATCCCAACGAGCCTCTCCCAGGAACGAATATTGTAAACCATCAGCGACCCGTTGGGTTGCTACTATCAAGATGAGTCGGAGTACCACTGATTCAGAGTGGTCCAGTCCGTCTTCGCTGCCAATCGAAGTTATCAGAAAATGGTCCGCGGAAACGGTGATTTGCAGTGCGTGCACAAGAGCTTTTCCATGGGTACTCAGCGTTGCAGTTCCAGGGCCCAAACATGCTGGGGCCAGCCGGTCCTTCCTCGGGATCGTCTCGTCTCGACAACATGCGCGGTATCAGTCTGTTGATAAAAACAATGTCAGAAAAGAGATTAAGACAAAGTATTTAGAGCATTTAGTTCATCTGGATAGCAACGTCAGTAATCAAATATGTTTTTATCCGTGTCAATTGGCAAGCTAGAACATCCACCAGTCCGACTCGTCAGTACAAACTTGAAGGTTTTTGTTGCAATATATGTATTCACTATAGTCATTTGCTGCATAAAGCCTACATGCATTTAACAATCTATTGGCATGTTTTGCTTGTAACAATATGTGTGATTGATCCACTATGGAGTAAAGGAACAGCTACGATTAGATCAGACAGATTATACCTTTAAGCCTTACCCCTAAATCCATTTACGCTGGTTTCGAAAGAAAAAAGAAAAAAAGAAGAGAGAAACTAAGTCGACACAACACTTTTCCTAATAGCATTGGGTCACATTGTCAATGATAGCTACTCTTACAAATTTCCATAAATTAAATTTCTGTGGAATAACGATTACTCTACAACATGTCAAAACCGTTGACGAAAATTTTAGCGTCATTCACCGAGTACTCACGAAACATTTCCTAATAATATTGTTTGCCTGGAAGAAAATCGTTTCTATTGTGTAAGTTATTATACAAACACTAAACCCGATTAAATTAAGTATACAGAACCTATAAGAATCGCGAGATGATGACTGTATGAAAATCCAAGTGGGGTATGCCACGAACATCCAACTTCGATGCCAAGGGCATGTAGTAAGATTTGCCATGGGAGACGCTCTGATAGGAGAAATGAAGAGATGATCTAACTGTGTCTGGTTGTAGGCAGGCCTCGGGCTTAGTCGCGAATTCAGGTTTGGTTAGCACTTAAAGTTGTTTATTTTACTTGTACTATACAGCTCCTTATGTGCAAGGTTATTGAATAAAAGAGGATTTTTACGGGATCTATCGAGACATTTCACACACACACCCACACTTACATCCACACGCACGCAAACCAGTAAGCGGTCACTTAGCAATATCTGTAGTCAGTTTTAAAGGGACAAAAAGTTGCAAAGTATAAGATGCCTTAAGATTAAAAAAACAAAACCTTTACAAAAGAACCATTTTCGCACTTCTTATTCAAGTGATTTTTCTTTTCTGTTAAGGCAGATCCTGAGTAAATACTTAATACATCACTGTATATTTTAGGTAATGTTGTTTGAGCAAATTCTGACCAATCGTGTTTCTTTCAAGTATTATCTTCCCTCTCTTCGTTCATTTGTGTTTCAGTTTATTTAACACTATGTTTATATATTTGTGTGATTAACAGTCGAAAATACTGCGTCGTAAACGTCAATGACAAAAACGAACTTCGTTTCGATACCTAAACACATTGCTAACAATCTCATGTGCTATAAAAGCCAATCAGGCCTTGACATTACGACATTTGTCGGGCATGTGACTTTATACCAAGTCTTCTAATTCCAAAACTTCACGTCAAGTAACATCTTGCTCTTCATCTGCATGTTCTGGCTAATACCGCAAAGAAGTCAGCGGTGTTTAAAATATGACAAAAAATAGTAAATTAAGGTAAAAACACGTCATTAATGTCTATTAATAAAGAAAAGACTACTTTGTCATATTGTCCTGAGCTTGGAAGTCTTTAATTTGCACATCTGTATTAACAATGTCGATGAAGTGGACTGGGGGTGATCATATACCCTGCTAACGTAAACAGACAGGGATTCATGTTATCACTGTCAGTGTTTTGAAAATCCACACTGAACATTAATGACAGAAGTCTTTATACCTGCAACGTCGTTTTATTCTTCAGGAATTCGTAAACAAGCCAAAAATGTTGGTGGCGTTAGCCGAAACAATTCATTGTGTGGAAAAGTTCTTTGTGCTTCAAAACGTCTGCAGGAGATTTCAAGGGTTATTTAGAAACTCTGATTTAGATTTAGGTATTTTTGTTGTCACCACAAGTAACCGCAACGTGCAATGCCGATCGTGTTAAATTCTACCGAAAGAACCAGCTGCAAATTTGAGTGTCAACTGCCGTGGGTGCCGCTGAAAGAATTACGCTCTGAACCCGTTGCCCACACCGCCAAGGTCCTGGTAAACATTGTAAACAGAGAGAACCAAAAATGATGGGAACTGATTATTAGGACCTGGTCTGGTCTTCCACCGCCACCTTGACACGACCCTTGGTTGGTTGTCGCTCGGCCCGGCTAAGGCAACCCTGGATGGAGCGGATGGCAACACGGTACCGTAGCGCCGTATACCCTCCCGGCCAACGCGCCACGGTGGGAGGAACTAGAGATGCGTTTGGGGTCAACTTGTCACACTGGACCCGCTGCGAACACCCGGGAAATTTTATGGCAACATGTGCTTCCGAGTGGCCCGACCATAAATATTACCTTCCTGGTGTTTGGAGACTAAAAATAAAAAGAAAGCAACGGGAAAAGGGAATAAAGAGACACCGATTGCGTGTGTTGGGGGTGTACGCTCACGCACAGCCACATGATTCCAAAAACATCATGCCTGGAAAGTAAACTGTAAACACAGTCGACATGAGACCTACAGACCTGGTGCGATTCATCATTTGACAACAAGAGACCCTGGGACGAGGACAGTGCACGCCTGGATGCAATGTACACTACCTAATGAGCGATTTACTACGTCTTGGTATCGCAAAACAGGGGGCAGTCTAAATATCCACTACATGGCAACAGTTTGAACTTGAAGTACCGTAAAATGTAACTCTCCCTTGATAGGAATGACGACGAAGGAACCTACATGCTGGTTCAACAGCAGCTATGTTGATCAATATCTTTACCACATGTTTGGAGTTGGTTAAATCTACCTAACCATGTTGGTATCATACTGGTGTGAATGAAACGAACTTGAAAGTCTTGTTCCCCATCGAGTTCCCGTAGATTAAATTTTATAACTTAACATCCTCACTGAAGTCTCAGTCTGTTGTACATTAAATTGGCTGCACGAGACACTGTTATTGTGAGAATATTATTATGAAATGCTTCAGTCGACATCGAATTTTCCAACGCTGTGCGCGCCCAGAATTATTTCTCAAATGCTTCACTATCAGAAGACAAAAACAGTCATTTTTACGCTGTAAATACCAAACTATTCTTTGCAAAACGGTAAACTAATCGCAGGTTCCATGCAGTCGGATGTGATTTACCCAAGTTGAATCATCAGATAGGGGCTGTCACTCCCAGCGCACGCAAATAAAAGAGTAAATCTTGCGAAATGAGTGTGAAATGTAATTCCCTTCAATGAGTCTCCCTGCGGGCAGAGCGGTCTGGTAATACGGCGACCAACCGCTGTAAGCCCGGTGCTCACGAGCCGTGCGTCGTGTGCCGGCAGTATGCCGAGTGTACTGCCAAGACCCAAGGGCACATTTTAGGCACCAATCCACCCAGTAGTAGTCAAGTGGTAACCGGGAATATGACACTGTCGTTCCTACTGTGAAGGAAAAGAAATCTAACTTGTTTAGAAAGCTAAATTCAAATGAAGGGACCCGTTGCATGAACGCGTACACACACCACATTATACGTCGTATCGCGTAGTGTACGTCATCCAGGAAGTTGACTGGAATTATAATCAATCTTGCAATATGGACTTGTTCTCTCATGACCTTAAGTTTACTTTATTTCTGCGGAATAACACATCAGATCACACCGAATCAAACAAGCAGAGAACTTACACAGAGCACTCTTCTCAATTAACCATAGGGCCTATCTTCAGCTTTAAAAAAGATACAGATCATGCACATGCATTCCTAAGTGTAAGCTAACTTTAAATCCAATAACTTATTTCACGATTGTGAAAAAATATTTTATCACAACTTCATTCGTCATTTTGACTTTTTTTTTCATTTAGATGCCGGAACCATGCGTGAATATCTTGTTGATGGCATGGCTGATGCTGCACATCATAATTGTTTTAGGGAATCAGAGAGTGTCGTCGAAATCATATCCAAAAATATTGACACGATATACACGAATGTGACGGGAAAAAAGTGAACATGTTCTGTGTCAGTCGGGACAAGGAATTCCTCTAATTAACTTTCGTCCCCCAGAAAACGACGCGCGGTTGACGTGGTCTGCGTTAGTTTTAGAAAAATCTGATCCCAATCTGATGTGATATTTTGAAACATCTGACTCTAGAGGATAAGATGTGTCTTGTCAGGGCATTTTTAGACCGACAAATGGACTAGTTGAATGACTGTACAAACATCGAATCAGGAATCTTACGATTATGAATGAGTAATCCACGGCACTATCTTCTACACTTTTCGCGTACCATCAAGATGGCTTCATCTTTCCTCTGAAGTTCTTTCCACCCACTCTCGCGAGTACAGTTGAATCGTTTACCAAATGAGCAACACTTTTCATGTGTTTGTACTTGTCATCAAACCATGACCTAGTTGGGTAACCGGTAACCGCAGTTTTTTAGTACACCCTTCTTACCAGGAGACAGAGCCGAGGTAAAGGGGAGAGTGAAGAAGCTGAACAGCAGTTGGTCAGTACTCGTAACTCCCATTCTGTAACTGCTTGCACGTTATATCGGATTCAGGTATTTTTTTTGTATCAATTAACTAGTAAACGATAATGCTTTCTTCATTAGCTGATATCGTGCCGATTTCAATTGTAGATTTTGTTGTGCTCCATATTTTCTGATTTACCATACATGCCATATGTCTTTTTACTGTTTACTTGATGGGACATTCCCGTCAAATTCATTATCATGTATTTGGCACTGCGGAATGTTTTTTAAAAGTTGTTCCGTCCATTCCACTTCTTGTTACGGTAACATGCATGCAGAACGATGATAACAATGAACAGAAAAATGATTAACGCATTGTGCATTAGCCCATATAATTTCATTTCTCGTTCTATTAAAATGAAATATATGACTAGAATCGTTTAACCATCTTAACAACTTTGCATGTAGTGAGTTTCAGCAAACAATAACATACTTGAAGTTTGACGCATAATAACAGCCACCCGTCAGAAAGTTATAACTTTGATGCCGTAAAAAACTCATTTTTTTAGGTAACAGTTTAAGAGTCTTTGTTTGCAATGGTTAATCCATTTTAGAAAATTGCCCGGGTTCTTACCATTTCTCGTTCAACAGCCTTCTTCCGCCTCTCTCGGTCCTCGATCTTCAGAAGTTCCGCCTTAAAACTAGCCGTGTCTACCGGTCCGATGCCGTCGTCTTTGGCCAGAACCTCGGATAAGTACGCAATATAACTGGTGGCTAGTCTCAACGTCTTTATCTTAGAGAGTTTCGTGTCTGCTGGCACGTTGGGTATGCACTCTCGCAAATCGGCAAAAGCCGAGTTGATGCTAAGCGTCCGCCGCCTCTCTTTACGGTTGCTGTTAGTGGGACATCGCCGCTTGCCGAACCGTCTTGGACCGGGAGGACTGCTCCGCTCATCACAAGAATTTCCCGGCGCGGACTGACAGTCAGTATTAGGGCTGCTGCAGTTGTTAGTAATAGTGGCGGTGGTCGTAGTCTGATCCTGGCACGCTTGAGAACACGGTGAAAATGAATGGTGATGGACGGGACTAGTGTACTCGTGCGGCATCTCACCGGTTGCAGCAACGGCCGGGCTGAGCAGTAGTCCGTGGTGATAGTAGCCCTTATCGTGCTCAGGGATGGAGGGACACCTGCCATGACCGTTGTGAGGACGGTACAAGTGCTCATCCTGTGTCCGCTGCAAGCTGACAGGCACCGGTGGATATTCGCTCAACATGCTCATGGTGTCCACCATCTCAAGCCGTCAGAATCGCACTGTTGAAACTAGCTAGGATTCAGTCTTGCTAGCTAGACGTCTTCCACGGCTGACAGCGTGAGTGAAACAGTGCGATTTATCCCGTCTAACCCGGAGGATCAAAGTCAGTACTAATCCTCACCTACGCGTAACCCGATACGCGTATAACCCCGCGCAATCGCTGCGTCCAATTAGGCGAAATGATGGTCGCGAGTCGGCAACTTCCAGAAAGGTCAAATGGTTGTCTAGGTTGATTTGTGTGTCGTTATGCGCAACGATAACAACAACAAAAGCATCTCGTCAGGCACGGATTTGAAAGTCCGACAGCGGTTGCTGTTTCATCCATTCACGATGGCGACTGACGAGCCTCTGCCAAGTACCGAGAATTGTCACTCTCATGTAGATTGCGGGCGTGACGATGCCCCTTCGAATTGGTCACCTGTAATTGTCAGCAACTGAGGTCGTTCTAATCTGTAATCGACACTTGTCATGTGACTTGGACGTTCGTGGGCCAGATTGAATCTTAACAAGGCACGTCACCAATCGGTGACAGGCCAGTCGGCTCTGCGTCTGGGGTGCCTATATTTGCCTTCCTTGTTTCTTGAACTGCATACTAAATAGCATTACGCCTATGTCACCTCCTTGCCTATTCGAAACACACATGTGCGGTTATAATGCGGACGTTATGTTGTGTCAAGCTGTGGGTATCGTGGCTCTACAGTAACGGAAATGCCGGTGACTGGGTGGACATTAAGTAAATTATCATGACGTGAAACAGGGACAGTTCGTTCCGTAGTTAAAGCCATTCCCAACGAGATACCCTGTCCCCCCCAAAAAAAATCCACATAGATACATAAAATTTAAGAATGTCATGATACCACTTGAACGACTGTCGAAAGGTCAATATTCGAAATAAAGTATACAGAATTTATTAAAGACTGCAATTCGCCTTTGTGCTGAAATTTTGTTTTGACAAGTACAACTATTTATCAAGTCCTACCCCGGTCATTTTAGACAACCCCAGCAGAGCCATTGCAGAAGGGCAGCAACTGAACAGATACACAAGACATACTTAAGCTATAATGATATCTAGATCTCTCGGTCTCTCGTTCTTTCTGTCTAGGACCATTGATTCATTGAGCTCAATGCTCCCGGCCAGAGAAAAGCTGTTGTAGCGAGCGGCGACGGAACGACAGAGCATAGGACAGGAGGACCGTGAGCTGGCGACAGAAGACAATTACGTCCCTTCCCTAGGGAGTGATTACCTTATCATCTGTTGTCTTTAAGTTATCCTAGGATTATAGGTGGTCTCGTAAAGAATGAAGACGGGGACACGAAAACACAGTCTTCAGGTTTTCAGACCCTCACAGACATGTCAACTGTACTGAAGCATGTCTTACTACACAGGTGCCTATCTTTTCTTTCCTGAGGTACTGACTGCAGCCGCAGTTGCTTTAACTTGGGTCGGCAATAGATTCGCTAATTGCAATAAACCCGGATATCATATCCTTTCCAATGAATTTCCTCTCTGTTCAGGTGAAATAGACCTGTGAAGTTACTTTGATTACGGTGTCGATCACGCTGCGTAGGCATTACACGTACTTACATAAATTTTGTAAACACTTATTATTCGTGCGGATTCCCCTTTCACAAGGGAGACTCGAGCAAGAGACTACTAAATCTGACGACTTTACAGGGCTTCAACCGTGTGACATGGCCCTGCGACGTTACTTTTACTTAGGAAGATATTCTGTGCAACTTGTTACTGCTTCACAGTGTACATTATACAGAAGTGGTCAGTCCCTTTTTGTCAATCGTGTGGAAAAATGTACTTGAAAACATTCAGGGCGCTGTTGTCGCAATAAAAATGAACTCCAAATTGCTCAGTGAAGATAATTGTAATAAGGCTTTGGCTCATTGGTTTATATGTCATGTGCTCAAACAACAGCGAGTCTAAATGAAAGAAAATTTCAGGGAGTAGGCCTACCGGTATTTAAGTGACACAATTTTTGATTGTAACAGGTGTCTTCTGGAAATAATATCACACTTTTGCTCGGGGACATGCAAATTCGAATTAGCATAAAAAGCCCACATGCACCGAAAGACGGCAAAAAAGAAAAGAAGAGAAGAGAAGAAAAGAGAAGAGAAGAG